GTATGCGCTGCCCTTCTTTTCCTGGGTATGCTTGCAGGAGGACTGATCACCTTTACATGCCGTCGGCCTTTGGTGGTTACCGTCCAGCTGGCAAACCCTAAAGATGAGCATGGTGACGTGAGAAAGATCTCTACTGGGCATGAGTTGGGTTCAGCTGCTATGCCGACGTCTGCAAAAGCTAGGGCGAGGCGAGCTCGTGAGCCTGTGAAGACTCAGACAGATGGGACTTTCTTCAAGAATCGTCATCTGTATGGCATCTTTTTGGAGGATGGGGAGACTGTCTTTCGCAGGAATTCGGAGCGTGCCAGGAACAGAGCAACGCGGCCTGAGTTCATCAGGCAGGTATTACCATGTGGCGTGTGCCGCGCTGTGGCAGATGCAGACTCCTCAGTTTATCTTTCCAAGCACGGCGAGAAGTACCATACAGAAGATTGCAAGCATGTGCAACAAAAGAATTCCAAGATTCATGGTGTTACTCCATGCGCGGAGTGCTGGTCTGGTCCTCGCCTTCTTGAGTGAGCTTGGAGTGTCGGGATGAGATTGGAACTTTGTTGCTTATAGTACTATATTCCTGACATGGTTTCAAGGAATGGCGCATGACAGGCTGCTGGGAAGATTATCTTCAAACCATCCCGAAAGGGGGTTTGGAAATTTGGTATACTAGTTTACTGCTGCTGCGGGATGATTTGATGACATGTGTGCAGTGCTGTAAGTGCTTGCATGGAATTTATGATCCATGGATATTTACACCAACTCTGGATGGATGCAGTGGTATGTTTTGCCACGACTGTCAGCTGCGGAATGACCACATCATTCCTTGCTGAAGCTTGTGAGTGAGCATGTTGAGCACAGGGATCGTAGCAGAGTCCCCAGCTTAGCAGTGTTGTGGAATCACATGTTCTTTTCAACAGTCCAGTACGTTTTTGCATGTTTTGGGGTTCGATTTTACATGTCAAGAGTTGTTTCACTGAAAAGTGAGCAGATGCACAAGTGCATCTGCTGTTGTTTGCAGAGCTGCAGCTTCAAGAAGCTGTTTTTGGCTTGGCTCTCAAAGGGTTGAACCGCTGCAGGGAGAGCGAGGACAGCGAGTGGGAGGCTTGGGCAAAGGGGGTTCGAGAGACCTTCCGCTTCAGCGCTTGCCTCAAGGCGGCAAGGGCCTTGTGCCCTCGCGCCAGCTGCAGTTCCCTGGTGACGCTGCTTTGGCTACCGATGAGGAAATGTTGGATGATGTCGTTGGGCCCAAGAGGCCAGCTCGTGCTCACGCTGCTGCGCCTGCCGCCAAGAACAGCTTCTTTATGCCGCCCTCGGCTCGCGTCGAGGTTAACCCAGGCGGTGGGGACTTGTTTATTCCATGCCGCGGCCCAGTATGCAAGCCACCTTGAGTGCAAGGAGGCCGAGCGGTTACGGTTAGTTGGATGGAAGCTCGCAAAGATGATTTGTCCATGCTCTGGGATCGCAGGATGCCGGATGAGTCTCCTACCCGTCCTACCCTTGACTCCTTCGACGCCCACTTGCAGGCCCTCAAAGAAGTTGGAAGGCGGTTTCGGTGCCGCTGCATCGTTGTGGACGCTGATGTGGGACGTGTTGGTAGACACGGCATTCCAGGTCAGACCAATCAGCACAGCGCTGTTTCCAATTGAAAAGCAGCCTTGGGAGTGGGTGCAGTGTGACGATGCGGCGCTTGCGGCTCTTGTGAGCAGTCGCTGGTTGAGACTCCCGGCAGTCGCCGTGGTGCGGCCAAGAGTCTGCAGCAGGCAGCAAGCGCGGTAGTCTGATGCTGTCTGACTTCTCTTCCGGGTCTAAAGCCGCGAAAGGCAGTCCGGGCCTTAGTCTTTGTCCAGGCACACTAAGTGATCTCCTCTAGTAAAAGTTGAAGTCCGGCGAAAAGTTGAGGCGGCCGTGCGACCTCTGTGGCATTGTCCTTGAAGCTGATAATACCAAACAGTGGGGAAGCAAGTGCAGCGGACATCTGCAACGCAAACACAAAGGAGTGCCAAGGGATCGTTTTCACATGTGTGCCCGCGAGTTGATGCGCCTAGTGTCGCTCCAGCATGCAACGCCCTGCTTACTGCTCGGCCACGCTTCCTCAGCCTGCATGTTAAGCGTATGGCCATCAGGAATGCAAGCATGCTCCATGAAGAAGGCTACGCCTCGGCGTAACATGGTTGATTTGGTCAGGAAGTTTGGGGGTACTCCTAAGGATTTTCCTGCTTTGCGGCCTAGCTTTGGAACATACATTGAGCGCCTGGGGGCCTTGCGCATGGCCCTTCAGCTCCTGAAGGGTCTCAATGTGGTCCGGGCGCAAACTGGTCATGATATAGGGCCGTGTGACTGGTGTGGATGGCAAGGGATGCAGTCTGCTTTTCTGTCGTACGTGCGCTGCTTCATGGGCCAAGCTTAAAGACCTGCGGCAAGACATCGAGGATGGCCTGGAAGTTGAGTGCAAAGTTCGGCAGGACCGGCCGTTGCGACTGAGGTACAGGTCGGCATCGAGCCTGATCCGGGTCCGTTAGGCTGCGGCCTGAGTGTCCTTACCCTCACGGTTGCAGGTTCCGGTTAGTTGTTTGCTCTCCTTAGCTCCCCTTCTAAAGGTTTTTAGGCCGATGCTGCTCGACGACAAATCTGGGTTGTGCGCATGATTTGTCCGTGGGCTTAAGGTACGGTAAGTTGCCGGGACTTGAGCAGGCAGTGCTATGGCATAATTGGGAAGACTGTGAGGACTGGCAGGCCTTCGCTAACACAGTCGCCCTCCGCGGGTTCTGGAAAGTCTTTGCTTTGGAACTGCTTTCGAAACAAACTTTAAAACATGTTTTCCTGACCACTTCGGAGGACCCTGGATTTTCTGGCTCTCTGGCCGCCGAAGCCGGGAAGCACACAAAAAAGCACCAAAATCGACGAATCTACCACAAATGTTATTTTTCCAGGACATTTCGGAGGACCCCTGTATTTTTGGTTTTCTGGCCGTCGGAGCCGTCGAGAAGGAGGGATCCCACAAAAACACTAGCTGCCAAATGCCTTCTGCAAAGGCTGTGGAAGGCTTCCCAAAAGGTTTCTTCCGTGAGGGAGCCATCCAAGACTTCAAAGACTTGGCACAGGCGCACTGCTGTGGCATCCCCACCGCCGGAGATGCACCCTCGCCCTCGTCAGGCAGAACCGGCTCTTCGGGCTCGTCCGCCCGAGGTATCGCTCGCTGCTGGCATCCACAGTGCCTGCGGATCGCTCCAGTTTAGGGTTTAGGGTTAGTGGGGTTTGGGGTTTAAGGTTTCGGGGGTTCAGGTTTAAGTTTAGAGTTTCGGGTTTCGGGCATTAGGGTGGTGATGGCGGGGGTGCTGGGGGTGGTGGTGGTGGTGGTGGTGGTGGGGTGGGGTATGTTCGATATACATCGTCGTAGATACATATGTTTGACACACAAATACATTTTGGCACACCTTTTTGGTGTCGTCAACGAATGCTACTGCATATGTAGATGTTTATGTGTATACAAATCTCGTTTGTGCATGTATGTAGACATTTAGATGCAGAGATTTGTGTATGTATTTACACTTAGGAACATACGTACTTATGTGCCGACAGCCAGTATGTTTGCAATGTGCATACACATCATGCATGCACGAATGTACGAATGTACGTATGGAGGTATGCATGTATGCATGTATGCACGTATGTATGTATGCATGTCTGTCTGTCTGTCTGTCTGTCTGTCTGTCTGTCTGTCTGTCTGTCTGTCTGTCAGTCTGTCAGTCAGTCAGTCAGTCAGTCAGTCAGTCAGTCAGTCTGTCTGTCTGTCTGTCTGTCTGTCTGTCTGTCTGTCTGTTTGTAGGTCTGTACGCATGTATGTGTGTATGTATGTATGTATGTATGTATGTATGTATGTATGTACGAACGTACGTACGTACATACGTACGTACGTACGTACGTACGTACATATGCATGTGTGGGTAGGGTCGGTAGGTAGTAGGTAGGTAGGCAGGCAGGCAAGCAGGCAAGCAGGTAGGTAGGTTGTATGTATGTATGTATGTATCAAACAGCATATACCATACTTGTGTACCCTTGTCTATTGTCTCCGGCTAACTCCATCCCTGTCCTTATCTCAGTCTTTATCTCTCCCAGTCCATTGTTTCCACTTCTGTCTCTCTCTCTCTCTCTCTCTTTCCATCCATGTATCTATCTGCCTATCTAACTGTCCATCCCTCTGTTTGTCTATCTATCTACCTCTCTATTTACATAGCTACCTATGTATTTATCTATGTAGTTATCTGTCTTTGTCGATCTGTGTATCTACTGTATCTGTCTCTTTGGCTTTCTAGCTATCTACATAACTATCGAAAGAGAAGACGAAGAATAATAACATTAATAACAAGTTGAAGAACGATATCAGCCGCGGTGGGCAGAAGGCATCAGATACGTAACCTTGCTTTGAGAGACCCACATTTACGACGGTTCATGCGACGTTGCTAATTTCTCGGAAAGCGAGCTTATCTCCCCACAGTCGCGACGGTCATGATGCACCAGTAAGGCATCGTGTCCCGAGGCCTTCGGCGTCTGCATCGTCCCAGAACGACATGCGCTTACAAGGCATCTTTGCAGAGGCCGGTCTGAAGAGAAAAATATGTCGGTCTGAGTTACAGAGCCGCAGTTCTGCCTGTGCCAGTGGTTTACTCTCCGATGATCGGGGTTAATGGTGTGAGTTTCGCTTTGGCTGTAGCTTCCCGTTCAATAGCAAGTTGAAGCCCAACTTACAGCGCGGTTTGGAACCCAAAGACTCCCGACACCCCTCTGTTTATGTGACCTATTCCCTGAATTTGTAGCGGAGGCGGTCTCTTGAGGCAAGCTGGCGTGTAGGGAAGCTACACGCCCCAGCCCTGGTCTTCCATGGGATCTCTTGTTGGGATTCTTTGTCACTCTTTGAAAGATTGTAGAACTCCTTTTCGAGAATTCTGCTTAGACCCTCATGGACATCGCTTTAAAACCCGTCTAGGAATTCGCGTGAAACTCCTGTAATGAAGGTCTCCAAGTGGAGAGGCGAGATTCGTGACTGGCGGAAGCTGTCTGTCGAGGAGACGGCGAAGGCCAGGTTCTGATCGTATCTTTGCTGCTGCCTAGGGGCCGCTGGGGGTTCCTGATAAAATTAGCGTTGCTACAAGGGTTTTGCAGAGAGCCTTGAATAGGGTCTGGGGTATACTACAGTACACAATGCAAGAAGTTATAGGAATACTGGTATTGGCAAGTATTCCGGCCCCAACATTTCGCCGTTTGGGAACGTTTCTTCCTCTTGTCATGTCAGGAATATGCCTCAGTTAAAGTGTAGTGGGCTGTCCAGGTACTCTTTCCTACAACAACTGCTACCGCTGCCGCTTACTGCTGATGTTGCCGCCGCTGCTGCTGCTCCTGCTACTGCTGCCGCCTATCGCCGCTGCTTCTGCTGCTGCTGCTGCTGGTGCTGTACGGCCGCTCCTACGGTCACTACTCCTGCTACTCCTACTGCTACTGCTCCTGCTCCTGCGTTTTGCTCCTGCTCCTGCTCTTGCTGCTAATGTGCTACAGCTTCTGATTCTGCTTTTGCTGCTGCTGCTATTATGACGAGAGTGCTCTCGAGAAGCTGGGCAGGCACGGATCCGAGAGGGACTCAAGGGTTACAGTTCTTTCGGCTTTCGGGTTCTGGCATGGTTACGGTTGAGGGTTTAGGGTTTAGGGTTTACGGGGTTCACCAGTCAAGAACAGAGCATGAGTCGGCCATCGGCCCAGAAGCGAGTTCTTCAGGATTTCCAGCGCGGTGAACCACCGCCGGCTCCCAAGACGCCGCGGCTCTACTCGACGCATCTGAGGCTGGCGGAACTCGTGCGGAGTATTAGAGTCGTGAGAGTTTACCGTGATAGCACCCTGGGTTAGTACCCTATAGCGGTACCCGATAGTCTGTAGAGTTATGCCATGATAGCACCCTAAAATGTTACTCTGTAGTGGTACCCTATCTTTGCAGCCCTGCCGCGGTGCCTGCTGGTGTGCGGTGGTCGGTGAAAGCACAGGCTCTGCGCGTATTCAGGGTGCAATCAAGAATCTCGCAGCAGCGATTCTTCGTCGGAGAGGTTTGATGCTCAGGTAAGGATTAGAGTTGTGTTTTGGGGTATACTATAAGTTATATTGGGACGTGACTTTCCCCAACAATGCCGTCTTAGTATTCATGTTGTTGGGGAGTTCTCCATTCAACAGGTTTCTGGGGGTGTACTTGGAGGTTCATGGGTAGTTGCAAGAGTATAAGTAGAAGTATAACCCATGTTAAGGGAGTTATACCCACTTACTCACAACTACCCGCGAACCTCCAAGTAGGAGTAGCCAGCCATGGTACAAGCTTATTAAAAACGTTAATAGGAATATTAACCATAATATTACTAGTACTAGTAATAGTAATGGTAATCATCTTACTAATAACAGTAAAGACGAACAGTAATAATAATAATAATAATAAGCCCGATAGAAGCCAAAGGAAACCCTAAACCCCAAACCGTTCGTGATAGCCCCCGGCAGGCGGCAGTCGCACGCCGTGGTCCGACAGCGGGAAGGCTGGCTTCAGCGCCAGTAAGTAAGAACGGCTTACGGTATCGGGTCTAGACACTACAAGAGGGTTCCTTCAAGGGTAGGTACCTATAAGGTTGCTATGATAGCGTTCCCCTCAAAGGGGGTGTGGTGTTGAGGGGTTTGGGTTGTAGGCTTTAGGGTCTAGGGCACTTGGGTTTTCAAGTTCAGGCTGGTGGCCGTTCAATCTTTAGGGTTTAGGGTTTAGGGGTTTAGGGTTTAGGGTTTAGGGTGAAGGGTGCAGTAGCCGTGTCAACACGAGCAAGCTCTGGAAACGCTCTTCGGGTGAGAAGTTGCACTAATTAAACTTAAATCCCTAAATCCCCAAACCCTAAATCCTAAACCCTAAACCCTAAACCCGAGCCCTAAGCTTCTAAATCCGACGAAACATGCGGATGATCGTTGTGCCGACTGGACCGCTGGGTGGAACCACAGAGAGGCCAAGTTTTCTCCACACGATCCCAAACCCCAAGGCCCAAGCAAGACCACCCAGAGACTCCAGTATCCCTTAATTAAGGAATATACCTTAAATTATAGTAGGATCCCTAATATGATTTAAGGCAATATAATAGTAGGATCCCTAATATGAGTTAATGGTAGGATCCCTAGTAAGATTTAAGGTCTATTCCTTAGTTAAGGGATATTGGAGTCTCTAACCACCTACACCTAAACCCAAAAACCCAAACCCTAAACCCTAAACCTAAAACCTTAAACCGGAAGAGGCCGAGAGCAGAAAGGTGATAGGCTTCGTATTCCTTGACCCTACACCGAGCATGTGTTGGTTTAGGGCTTAGGGTTTAGGGTTTAGGGCTTTGGGTTTAGGGTTCAGGGCTTTGGGTTTAGGGTTTAGGGTTTAGGGTTTAGGGCTAACTTCAATTGAAGGTTGAGCTTCAGGACGTCGAATAATCAGGACCTTTTCGTTTTTGCCCAACTCTGCTCAGGCCACACCCCCCGCACTTCAAGCCCTACAGATAGCCAATACTGAAACCACAAACCCTTGGCCCTAAACCCTAAACCCCAAACCCTTAACCCGAACCCCTAAACTCCAAACCCTAAACCCCCAAACCCTTAAGCCGAACGCCTAAACTCCACGCCTGAAGCCCCAAAGCCAAAGTCCCGATCCCGAAGCCGTCAGCCGCCAACTCTGAAGGACTGATCCAGGCCGTCGCCGTGGGCACACTCCAGGCTCAAATCCATGCGGGAGTTTCAGAAAATTAGGGTACCTTTTTTTGGGGTCCTTACAATAGGGATCCTATTATTTAGGGTGCTATATTAGGGTCCCCTATTTTCGGAAACCCCCATGCAGGGCTGAAGATAAGAGCTTCTAAACGACTTTACATGGGTAGTTCTTTAGTTTAGGGACCCCCAAATAGAACGGCACGCTTGCAATAAGGACGCTATAATCAGCGACCGTACTTCGGAGAGCTACCCACACCCACAATAGACCCCCGCACCAAAACCCTGGGCGTGAAAATTCGTCTCCCGAGCATATTCCTGCTTGCGGGAGCTGGGCCATTGATCCGGGGTGTGTGCATGGGGAGTTCTCTACATTGGGGTCCCTGCTTAGTTCCCCAAATTAGTACGGCACCGTCAAAGACGACCCTCAAATGGATCCTTCTGAGGGCTGGAATCATTCGTTAATCAACTTGCTGAAAATGTAGGTGAGTTTGTTAGCATGGGGTGTCCACGGTGCGCTGCTGCTATCGCTCTGTCCGAGGATTTCTGTTGCATCTTGGTGTACTTAGAATCGATCTGCAGTGCACCCGTTGTTTCACAGTATACCTGCACTGATAGCATAGTAGCTTTCCTACCATTACACACAGTTGCTCCACGTAGCTCCAATACAACATTGTACACATCCAAAGATACTTAGACTGCCGAAATTGAGGTGCTATTCCAAAGAAACTGAACCATCAGGCAAAATTGAACCATTAGGTATGCCGGAAGCCCCGAAGGCAGTAAACGACAAAAGCAAAAGCACATACATATCTCCCAAACTGGAGACCTTGAGCCCCGCGTCCCAAGCTCTGAACCTCCGAGCCCTTAACCCCAGACTCTGTTCACGTTCCCTGAACCTGAATGGCGGCAAACCCACAGTCACGCGAGCGTCGCCCTATACCCTGAACCCGCCACGAGGCTTAAGGTTTTGGGTTTGGCTTTGAATCCTAGATCTAAACCTTCCAGCCCCCTAGCCCCGACCCGTGGCCGAAACGACCTCTCTTTTCGAGGAACTAAATATACCAGTAGCAGCCATAGCAAAGGAGCCCTGAAACGGTAGGTCTTTTCGGCTACCGGCACCCCTTCACCTTGATCACCCAGCTAAAGAAGGGGCTTAAATAATTACAAACATATATACTATTTCGGGGGCTCCTTGCTATAATTGTAGTATAATGAGCCCCAAAACCCTAGTCTAAAACTAAGCCCTAAGCCCTAAACCCTAAACCCTAAACCCTAAACCCCCAAACCCTAGTCTAAAACTAAGCCCTAAGCCCTAAACCCTAAACCCTAAACCCCAAAACCCCCAAACCCTAGTCTAAAACTAAGCCCTAAACCCTAAACCCTAAACCCCAAAACCCTAGTCTAAAAATAAAGACCCCGATAATATCCCAGCCAGGCCAGCCAGGATGGAACCTACTGGTCACCCAGACACTGGTCCTGGAAACTGGAGTTGGGTCTCAGGCTTTGGGGTTTAGGGTTTAGGGTTTAGGGTTTAAGGTTTAGGGTCTCAGGCTTTGGTTTTGGGGTTTCGGGTTTAGGGTTTAGGGTTTAAGGTTTAGGGTCTCAGGCTTTGGTTTTGGGGTAGACCTCAGTCTAGCTAGCTAGTAAGGCCCGTGTGTGAAGTAAAAGAGGACCCCCCTTAACCCTAAAACCCGAACCTGAAAGCCGCCTAGGGCTTAAGACCCTCTTGATTATATTCATAAAACAAGACCCCTAAACCCTAAACCCCAACTCTCCAGGGCTTAAGACCCTCTGGTATATCTACCTATCTATCTACCTATCTATCTATCTATCTATCTATCTGTCTATCTATCTACCTATCTATCTATCTATCTATCTATCTATCTATGTATCTATCTATCTATCTATCTTTCTATCTATATGAATATATTTATATATATATATATATTATTTGTACCTAATTATTTTTTTATAGATATATGACATTATATACATATTATACATATGTACATATATATATATATCTCTCTCTCTCTCTCTCTAACGGGACAGCCTTTCTAGCCGAGGCTACGAGGCGCCCAGCAGGCGACAGGTTGACGTTCGAGCGCCGCTGTGAAGAAACGGAGCCACCGCTTTTGTGTGTTTTTTTGTTTTTAAGGGCTTTGGGGTTTGGGTTTAGGGTTTAGGGCTCGCGTTGCTTGTCAACCCACCCCGTCCA